TTTTTACGGTAACGATAATAATAATAATAATAGTAATCATTTATCGATATGTTTTTTTTTTGTTTGGTTTCCGATATTTTTTTTTTTTTATTCTAAATGAAATTGTTTAAACTTTATCATCGTAATATTTTATATATATATATATATATATATATATATATATATATATATATATATATATTTTGTGAAAAATTGTTTGGAAAAGGACACAAAAAAAAAGAAAAAAAGGAAGAAAAGAAAAATGTTTGTGGGAATAAAAAAAAAAAAAAAGGGATATTTTCATTGGAAAACGATGTGTCAGCATTCAAAATTTTCTTACGATGGTAAGAAAACGTGGAAGGAAATGGAAGGAAGGAAGGAATGAAAAATGGGGAGATTTAAAGTTTTTTTTTTTTTTAAACGTAGGGAGACATAGAAAAAACAAATAGGGAAAACAATAAGAAAAAAAGAAAGGAAAAGGAAAAAAAATGGCGTTTTTGATGTTTAAAAAACCGCAAAACGTTTCCGATAATTTTAGATTTATATCATACAGACGTGAACGTGCCAAACGACAATGAAATTTATTATGGAGTTGTCGGTTGTCGGTTGTTGTCGGTTGTTGTTGATTGTCTTTGTCTTACCTTTGGCATCTATGTTTTAATTATTTCAAATATATGTTCGAGTAGTAAGTTTCTTTTTGGAACGCAAATTTAAACGCTTTTCCAGTCAAGTGAAAAATAATCAAATAAAAATAAAAAAATGATGGAGAATTTCCAAAAAAAAAAAATTCCGGAAAAAGAAAATTTTCATAACCGGAAATAACAATAAATTTTAATAGGTTAATAATTTATTATTATTTGGCAAAAGTTTTTTTTGACCACGCGGCGAATTTCAAAAAAAAAAAAAATGTTTTTTCGGAAAAATCGAGGATAAAATAAAAATTTTTTAAAATAATTTTGAATTCAAGTCAAATTTTTATCAGGGGGAGGGGGTGGTTGGGGTGGGGGTGGAAGGGTAAGGGTTAGGAAAAGGGTTGACAAGTCGGTGGTAAAAAAAAAGGGGGGGGACAAAAAAAATTTTTTTTAAAAATTAATTCTACCGTCACCTTTTTTCCTCCCTCCCTCCCCCTCCCTCATTATTCAATTTTTTTTAACCTCTTTTAAAAAAAAATGAGACGACACGGACGATGATAAATAAATAAATTTAACAAAAAAAATGTGAGGGGGAGAGGAGCAAGTCCCATCGGAACCATTTCCCGATGGTTTTCGGACAACGAATTTCCGAAAAAAAAAAAAATTCTTCCTCTTCCTCCTTCTTCTCCTGACCTTTTCCCTTCCCCCTATTTAAACCACGTAATAAATCAAATGTAAATTTTTTTTTAACAAAACGGTCAAATATGTGACGTCATAGTTGTCGTCGTCGTCGTCATTATCGTTGAAAGAAAAAATGACTTTTCCATTTTCCAAACCCTTTACCGCCAACCCCTCTTTTTTCTTTTTCTTTTTTTCTTCTCCTCCTCCTTTTCTTTTCGTTTTCCTTTTTTTTCCGCCTTTTTAAATTCGTGACTTTTGTTGTCAATTTTTATAGATTTAATAAAAAAAAAAAAAAACACTATTTCCGCTTCCGCTTTTTAAATTAAAAAAAAAAAATAAAGAAAATTTTGTCCGATGCTGTCGTTCGTTTCTTCTTTATATAACAAAAACATTTTATTATTAATAATAATAATAATAATAATAATAATAATAATAATAATAGTAATGTTAATAGGGTTACGTATTTATTTTATGTATTTCACGGAGGAAAAACAAAAATAAAGGAAAAATCTTATTAAGTTATTATTAATTTGTAAAAACGATAAACGATGACGTCATTAATATAATTAATTTCGGTAAACAAACATCCGAACATCTTGATATCATTTCCGTTTCTTATTATTATTATTATTACTGAGAGAAAACAAAAAAAAAAAAAAAAAAAATTAAAAGAAATTCGAACGGCTATATAACAACAACAATAAAAACAAACAAAAATTGTTTGTTTGTTTGTTTTTTTCGATGGAGAAAAAAAAAAAATTTTTGAGCTTTTTTTTATTTTGTTAAAACCGAAGGCTCACGTTCGGAAAATCTTTGTAAATGTCGGATGAACGGTTATTATTATTATTATTATTTAATTTACATTCCGAAACATTCAAATTCACATTCATTCATTCATTCATTCATATTTTAATTATTTAGAATTTGTTTCGATCGACCAATTATAAAATTTAAAAAGAAGAAAATGAAAAAAAAAAGAGAGAGAGAGAGAGGAAGAGAAAAATTTTCTAGAATGTTCGATGTTCGTTGATTTGTGTTATAAATTTCTTTAGTTAAAGTTTCATTTCGGGGATGAGATGGGGGGGGGGGCAGGAAGGGGCTCTTATTTGACGGATAACGTCAGGTATAAATGTTACGTTTGAAAAATGTGAATTCCGGTAAAGAATTTTTTTTCGGATTTTTTTTTTTTTTCGGAAATTTAAACTCTTTTAAATCCTGACAAGTCTGGAACGTTTTTTTTTAAAAATCTGTTGAGGTTTTTTTTTTCCTTTCCAAATGGATAAACTTTCGATTCGATAATAGAATTCGATTTTATCGATTTTTTTTTTCTCGATTCGAAAATTCAAACGTTTATTAATATCTTCTGCCTTACGTAAAAAAAAAAAATAAATAAAAAAAATAAAAATAAAAAAGAGATAAGAAATTCGAACGGGAAAGAAGGCGGGGAAAGGAGAGGTAAGGGGGAAGAAGAAATGATTCTTTTTATTTTTTCGTGACTTTAGAATATAACGATGATTTTAATTACACGACAAATTTTTTTTTAATATAAATTCGTTAATGTTACGTCGTTACAAAAAAAAAAAAATTAATGTTTATTTATCAGTCGGTAATGTTTTGGTTAGAAAAAAAAAAAACGTGTCATTAACCGCGTCGAACGATTGTGTCGAACTCTAGAGGGAAATTTTAAAAATTCTTATCATTTTATTAAAATTTTATTCAAAATAATAAAAATTTAAACTACTAAATTGCAAAAAGCAAGCGAATTTTTTTTACGATATATTTTTTTTCATCCAAATCGAAAGGACGTGTCGAAACTTTTCTTTTTTTTCGTTACGAAATTTTTCCAGAAATAATACAATTAATAATAATAATAATAATAAATATTTATTCGTGGGACACTGTTAATAATAATAATAATAATAATAATAGTTACGTAAAAATAACGTTATTTACTTATATTTAGTAA